CCTGCTCACACTGGGTCTGAGTGCGATGGGATTTATTAAGAGCTTCTGCACTGCGGTCTTAAAAGCAGCTGTATCAGTATGGAGTAGTGCAGAGCTTCTTTGTTACCACTAGTTTTGTCTCCCAAAATTCAGTTCTTTTTTTGGGAGGCCAAAAGCTTCAGCTGCATCCATCAGATCTGTGTAGCCTCCACGTTTCCCCATTGACAGGGAGCGGTGGGAGGCGTGCACACCTCCAGGATGTGCAGGGATTCGGCAGTGACAGGAGATAAGCTGACATTTGAGGCAGAATACTTCTGTGCAGGGAGACCTGGGCACAGGAGCAGAAGCTGCAGAAAGCAGTGCTGCTGCACTTCAGCCAGAGCCGGATCCCTAAAATCCACAGCATCGCGTGCCTCTGCCTCGGTGCGCCGCTTTGCAAAAAGGCAGCAAAGATGGGACAGGAGAACGGCGGTTGTTCTGCATGCACAGGGGTCGTTTCTTTCGACCCTTTGCTTTTGTGCACCGTTTCAGAGCATCACCCGTAAGAGGCGCTACGTGGCGACCGTGTCCCTGCACGACCGGATCTACGTCATCGGGGGCTACGACGGCCGCTCGCGCCTCAGCTCCGTGGAGTGCCTGGATTACACGTCGGATGAGGATGGGATCTGGTACTCCGTGGCACCCATGAATGTGCGGCGCGGGCTGGCGGGAGCCACAACCCTGGGAGGTGCGTGCTGGGCAGCGCGGGGCGGATCTCTGGGGTCCTGCAGGTCTGGCAGCTCTTTGCTGGGATACAGCGATGGAAGCCGTGCCGCGTCTCCGTTCTTCGTGCCGCTGTGCTCTGAGCAACAGGAGCTCAAGGAGGGGGAGCTCTCATGGCGGATAAGCAGCTGGAAGGGCTGGCTGGGTTCTGGGTTTGGTTGGCCGGCTCTGCAGGCGGGCTGATGCCGTGAGGGTGAGCAGTCTGCATTTGTCTCAGCTTCAAACGTGCTGAGCTCTGCTGTGGTTGCTGCATTTTGCAGTCCACGCTGTAGATTTGCTCCGTCTGAGGGCTTTGTGCTCCACGTGCACGTTTGGTGCTCGGTCTGCTGAGCCCAGCCCTGCTCTGTCGTTGCAGATATGATTTATGTTTCTGGTGGGTTCGATGGGAGCCGGCGCCACACCAGCATGGAACGCTACGACCCCAACATCGACCAGTGGAGCATGCTGGGAGACATGCAGACAGCACGGGAAGGAGCGGGGCTTGTTGTGGCCAATGGAGTTATCTACTGCCTCGGTAGGTGCCTGCAGGCAGCAGATCCTGAGCCAGCGCCGGTCCTGGAAGCCGTGCTGCACTTCGGTGGGGTGGCAGCCGCGCACTGCGAGGCAGCGCTGCACGGTGCGGTGGTTGTGCTGGCTGGGAGTGCTGCACAGATCCTCTTTGCTCTGCACTGGTGTGTTGTGAGTTGTGCTGAGGCTGAACCAGGCACATTACTGCTCTCTGCGCAGAAAACTTGTCCAGAAATCAGGCCCACAGTTTGCTCCTCTCTTGTGTTTCAGGTGGCTACGATGGGCTGAACATCCTGAATTCTGTGGAGAGGTACGATCCCCACACGGGACACTGGACTAACGTCACACCGATGGCCACAAAGCGCTCAGGTAGGAGCTCACGTGCTGGCTTAGATCCCCGGGAGGAGGAGCCATAAAGGAGTGTGAGTGTGGCATTGTAGGCTGCAGGGAAAGGGTAAGTCTGCTGTGACTGCCCTAATTAGGAACTGACAAGGACCAGCAGCAGCTATTGTGTGTGAAGTAATGGGACAGTGTGCAAAGGCAGCACTTGTTAGCTGCAGGGGTGCTGGGGGAAGCCCTGGGCCTCATCCCCTGGGCAGCCAGGACAGCAGAGAGCAGCATTGCTAAGACAGCATTACACGGCCAACTGGAGCTTGCAGCTTCTCTTTCCTGCTTGGCGTCCTATCTGAACTTCAAGCCTGGCATCAGGATCTAGGAGAAAAGTATAGTCCGAGTCCTCCTTCTGCAGAAAGTTACATCTCAGAACTTGTTTCTTGCAGCTCCTTTTTACCCATGCTCTGCTGCCGTGCCCTCTGCTACTTGCGGTGCCTGGGGCTGCCCTGCACCCTGCTGGCAGCACAGTTCTGCCGTCACCACACCCCCAGTTTGGGCCAACAGCATTACTGCTCTTAGTGAGGCAGCTGAGCACAGCAGATCTTACAGGCAGCTGAGCACCTGGTGCTGCTCCTGCTGCCCTGGCTGCAGCTGGTGGCTCCCCCAACTGGAAATTGAGCAGAAGTTGGCAGAGTTACGGAGTGGCAGCGCTGGGCACAGCTCTGCCAGCACCCCTCTGTCCTCCTCTCTCCGCAGGTGCTGGAGTGGCTCTGCTGAACGACCACATTTACGTTGTTGGTGGGTTCGATGGCACGGCGCATCTCTCCTCTGTGGAAGCCTACAACATCCGCACCGATTCCTGGACCACTGTAACCAGCATGACCACCCCCCGCTGCTACGTGGGGGCCACCGTGCTGCGGGGAAGGCTGTATGCAATAGCAGGGTAAGAGGCGGCCGTGGGCCAGAGGGAAGGTGCTCTGTGTGTCGGGAGGTGTGAGTGACTCGAAGTGACACAGTGACTTTCTGTCCTTGCAGCTACGATGGCAATTCACTGCTGAGCAGCATTGAGTGCTACGATCCCATCATCGACAGCTGGGAAGTGGTGACTTCCCTGGGGATGCAGCGCTGTGACGCCGGGGTCTGCGTCCTTCGGGAGAAGTGATCTGGAGAGAGCTTACAAAGCACTTCCCCAGTACTGCCTGCTGCAAGAAGAGTCCCCAGTGATTTGCAGTGACTGTTTTTGAGAGTTGCGGATGCTGTGGAAGTAGGCACCAGAACGGCAGCTTTCTGTGCTGCTTTGACCAGAGCATGTGCATAATCGTGTGATCTCAGCAGTCATTTGAAGTCAGGGGCTCTGTGTGAAGCTGGAGGAAGGTGGTGAAGTGGGTCGAGAGAAGCTGCATTTTCTGCTGTTCCTGTGGCTCATTTTCCCAGCAGAGCAGAGCAGCCCCCAGCTGGCATCAGCCGGCCTGGTGAGCACATGTGAGGACATGCACACAGCTGGGTGGTTTCTGCGGCCGCTGCAGGAGCGGCTGGGTGCTCCGGTTGCTCTCAGTCCCGTGGATGCGTGCGGGTGGAATCCAGCTGCTCTTCGTTCCCGCTTCCAATCATCCTATACATACTGAATGTTCTCAACTCGTTCCTCAAGCACACGTCAGTGCAGAGCCAAACTGGACGAGCACGTGTGTGTGTGAGGGGTCCTGCGCTGCAGGTTCTGCACGCAAGGAGTCGCGGACTGAAGCTGTCAACTACTGAGACCCAAAAGCCTGAGGCTGCAGGGGCAGAGGGCAGGGAAATCCACTGCCTGGCATAAAGGCAGCGCTGTGGCATTTGTGCTGTAATGGCAGGGTTCATCGCATCGTACTTCCCTTGAAAAGCTTGACAGTCCCAGCTGCAAAGAGCTGCATTTTCTGGCCACAGGAGCCCTGCTGCCAAAGGCGGTGCCTTTGCTCCCACCCCTGCGGGGAGGCTGACGTGCAGCCCGAGGCCGGGGCACGGCGATGCGGTTGCTCAGTCCCTGCTGATGAACTGGTTCTTCCCTGGAGCGCTGTCTGCCCGCTGCGCCCCCGTCAGGCTGTAACTCAATTCATGGTGTTGGTTTTCCTGTTACTTAGGATTTCCCTACTACCGGCCCTGTTTTGGAGTCACATCCAGGGTTCTGTTTTGCCCCCACGTTCTCAGCTTTGCCCTCCCTGCCCCCCAGCTGTCCGCCGCCCGCCCCACAGGCTGAGCCCCAGCACGGCGTCCCATTGCCGGTTCCGGGAGCGCTCCCAGCACGGCTCCCAGCACCGCCCCGCATTCCTGCTGCCCGCAGGCTTTCCTCTGCCTGAGCTCGTAGCGCTGCTCCTCGAGCTTACTGCTGGTCCCGGCTTGGGCACAGGGTGGGAGCAGGGACGTGGTAGCATGACTTAAGTATGCACTTTCAGCCAACGCTCTGACCTGCGTTTGTTTCTATTACACAAGTGTTCCGTGGTTTTGTTTCCTATGTTTATTTTTTATTGAAAACATAAAGAATAAAATATTTCCTGAGCCAGAAGGAATTCACCTTCTGTTCCGTGCCCTGCGGACGTTCATCGACTCCCTGCGTCGCGGACGCCCGCTCAGCCCACGCGGCCGCCTCCAGCGCTGCCTTCATCCCGCAGCTCACGGGCCGGGCGGTGCAGAGCAAACGCTCCGTCCTCGGGAAGCGCAGTGCACGAACCCAGCGGGGCTCGGCGGCTCCGCCGGCTTTTCCCACTCCCTCCGTGGCCGGGCTGCAGGCGCGGCGCGGCGACGGGCCGAGCGCGCGCCCCCGCCCCCAGCCACGAGTGCCCGCCTCAGCGCTGCGCACGCGCCGTCGTCACCGCTCAGCTCCGCCCTCCGGGCGGCGGCCCGGCTGCGCCTGCGCGGCCATGGCGGCGGCCTGTGCGGAGATGGAGCCGGCGGCGGCGCCTCCTTCTTCTCCTCCCGCAGCCGCGCCGGGATCGGCCGGGCTGGTGTGTGCGCAGGGCCGGAACCTGAAGGCGGTGCTGTGCCAGCGCTGCGGATCCCGGGTGCTGCTGCCCGGAGCCGCCACCTTCACCTGCCGCGAGGTACCGGGGAGCGGTCGGGGGAGGCGGGAGGGGCGGGGCGGAGGGCGCCCCCTGGCGGCGGGGCGGTGACGCGGTGCTCTCCGCAGCTGCTGCTGCCCGCCATGAGGAAGAAGGCGGCGGCGACGGCGGACGGCAGCGACGGGGACGTGGTGCGGGAGCACTGGCTGGTGCGCGACATGTTCTCCTTCGAGAACGTGGGCTTCACCCGCGACGTGGGCAACGTCAAGTTCCTGGTGTGCGCCGACTGCGAGGCCGGGCCCATCGGCTGGCACTGCGTGGACGACAAGGACAGCTTCTACGTGGCGCTGGAGCGCGTGGCCCACGAGTGACAGCGGCGCGGGGCTGGGACGGCTGGCAGCGCAGGGTGCATCCCTGCTGGACAGCACAAGGACCGGTGTGATGCCCCGGAGTGGCACCGTGCCCCTCGGCCACCGCCGGACTGCAGGACACACGGCACAGCAGGACACACGGCACAGCCGGCTCTGCCCACGTGGGAGTGGCAGCGCTGCTGGCAGAGCTGCAGAGCAGCACAGCAGGGTGGCTCTGCAGGGCAGCTCGGTGCCACGCGTGCTGGGAGCCGTGCCGGGTCTTCACAGCCGCTCTGTCACTCCTCCTTGTGTCGTGGCCGTTCTAAATGTGCTGGGATGTCTGTGGGGTGACTGGTCTGTGGCACAGCCCCGGCAGAGCAGGAGGAGGAGAGGACTGCTGTGCTGATCCGTGAGGTGTCTGACCTACGGCCGGGGACGCTGCAGGTGTCAGGCTGTGTCCTCTGCTGATGTTCCCTGCCCCAGACCTTAACATTTAGGTTCTCTAAAATCTCGCCCTACTTGACAACTGTAACCTGTAAGAATATGTGGTACCTAAAGTGTGTGTAAGGGTGTTTTAACTGGTGTGGTTTTATTAACTGAGTACTTGGAAATAAAACGAGATGCAGATACTGGGCAGCACAGGCTGATGGAGTGGCAAATAAAGAAAATACGCAGGATGGCAATGCGTTCAGGAAGGAGGAATGCAGAGATTCCATCCTGAAAAGAACTTGGATCAGCAGAGTGTGATGATTCAGTGTCTCACAGCTGAAGAATGTCAGAAGAGCTGCGCGCACATTAAACGGGAGGTAAGTTCCCTTCTGCTGGCAGGAGCAGTGCTGGGATGCTGCCTCCAGCAGTGGCCTCTCTTCAGAGATGGCCACAAACCTGGCTGCGTGTTGCAGGAGCCCGCAGCAGCTCTGGTTCTCACAGCATTTTATCTTTTGGTGGTTGCAGCCCAGTCTGTGTTCTGGTTTGCAAACCCTTGTGTGAATAACGCAGCAGCTTTACGGGTAGCTGTGGGTCACGCCTGCAGAGGACGTGCCTGTCTGCAGTACGTGTGCAGCATGCTGTGCTGCTAAACGCTTTTGGTACCGATTCAGCTGAGGTGCAACTGGCAATGATGAATTTGTGTGTTCACAGCCACAGTCTGCTGGGGGCAGAGACCAACGGCGTCACTCCTGAGGGCTGTGGGACAGACTTTCCCTCGCTTCTCTTTTAAACCATCTGCTGGCCTGAGGCAGGCACAGCCTCAGGGAGGTTATCCAGAAATGACAACCTGTTCTGGTTTGATGACAGTGGAGGAGGGAGAAATGAGTCCTTTCTTTCCCAGTGCTTGAGCACCTGCACTGTTAGTATCAGAAAAGTGCCATCATAGAAAAGTAAAGCAGCCAATATGTTGGTTATTCTGCCACAGACCTCTGCTGTGGGCAGTCCAGGTTTAGTAATGGGAGGAAGGGGTGGGTGGAGGGCGTACCTTTGGCATCTGTGCAATACTTTCATCTTTGCAACATCTTGTGGATATCAGCTTTGCTAAATAACACCTCCCACAGAGTTGTGCACGTGGTGTCCTGATGCTGGGAGCTGCTGCGGGTGGTGGCAGCTTTATTGGTAACCTGGAAAGAAGCCTGCTGCCATCACGTGTCAATACAAGGGGCTCAGCAGGGCTCAGAGAGGGGCGGTGGATGGATGCAAACAGGGCAGTTCTGCTAGGAGTGCAGCACTGGTATTCTCTCTCCTGCCTAAGTCGCACTGCTTATTTTCACAGAGCAGCAGAGCTCTGTAATCGGGTACTGCTGCTTCCACATAGGCAGCTTTTACGAGGTGTGAGTGTTTGGGATATCTGAAATGTATTATGAAGATTGTGAGTGTTATTTTACGTGCCTAACATTACATTCCTTGGCAGGAACAAGCAAAGTAGGAGGGAAGGAAATAATAGGAAATAGCTTCAGGGTCCTTAAACAAATAGTGCAGGGAAATGCTTCCCTGCCTCCTGCAAAGCCAGGTTACAACAAAGCCTGGAATCAAAGGAGCACAAAACCACCAAGTATTTTGCCTAAAACCACCGAGTGTTTTGCAGCTGCTGGGGAACATGGAAAGAAACCACAGCAGATGAGCAGAGTTTGCCATAAAAGTGCAGAGAGAAGATTTTGATAAAAGCCAGCTTTACGCTCCTTTTAACCAACTCCTCTTCTGCATCTCAGTGTAAATACTTCTTCCATGCTGTGCTGCTCGCCAGCCCCACTCTGAAAGCGCAGCTTTCTCACAGATGTGCTGGGAACTGCTGGTGCTGGTGAGGCAGGGAAGTGGGGGGAGAAGGGTTCTGGGTCACCAGGGCTGAGTTTCCTTCTGAAGAGGAAACCAGGAATCCCTTCAGGGAATTTGGTTCTTGCATCATTCTCCTAATATTTCATTTGGAATGGCACAGCTCAACCTGCAGAGTGCTGGCAGCACAGCTTTCAGTCCTGCATACCTGGGTGTCAGTGTGCTGTGTGAATGGCAGTGGCTCCTGGCAGGGGTGTCCTGTGGTCAAACACCTCGTGGTCACTTTCTGGGGGCTTTGATTTTGCCTTTGGTTAAAGTGTGAACTCTTCAGATACAGCCTCTGCCCGGAGAAATGCTCTGCTCTCCTTGGCACAGCTGTGAGCAGCTCAGGGCTGACACCAATCCCATGAATGCACCTGGGCCAAAAAGCAGCTCATGTTCTGCCAAAGCAGCTGGAGCTCAGCTGCCAGAGGAGGACAAAGCGATGAGAGGCAGAGTGGAGGTTTTCCAGCAGCCTGCCCTCCTGGGTGAGTGCTGTCTGGCAGGACAGGTCAGAACTGCAGGCAGCCTGTCCTTGAAATGCCTTTCGGAGCCATTTGTGGTGTCAATAGGAGCTGGCATTTCTGGGGCAAGAAACCATGCTATAAGAATCGCAGGTGCATTTATCCATGATTTATCCAGGATTCTCACTGGGGAAGCAGCAGGCAGTGCTGAATCAGCTGCATTTGTTCCGTTTCATGTTCCTCATCTTCCAGCAGTCTCCACATTCCCTGGAGGAAGGCAGGCAGCCGCTGTGCTGCTGTCGGAGCGCTGCCAGAGGGAACCTGCTGCAATCGTTCAGCAGCAGCTGGAGGAGCCCTGAGAGCCGGTGCTGCTGAAGGCATCCATTCGTCTGCCCTGGAGCTGCTGGCTCTGCTGGGCCGTGCTTAGCAGCGTCTTTCTCGGTGCATCCAGCTCATGGCTGGCCGCAGCTCCGCTTGCTCTGGAATCTGGCACATGAGGGCTGCTTTGGAAATGTGCACGGATGCCTTCTGCTCGGGAAAACAGCGTCCCGTTTGTCATTGTTTAAAGCTCGCGTCCTGCCCTGGAAAGCGCAGCTCGGCTGAGGGAGGAGCGGCTGCCCGAATTTCACTGCTGTGCTGCTCACAAAGCATCTCTTTGCTGATTTATAAACGTTAAGAAACGCGGCAGGGATTTTGAATCGTTTTTACACTTCTCCTGTTAACACCCAGCCTGAGTTGGGGCATTTTGACTCCAGGTGCACAGATTTCAGTGGTCTCTACGCGCCCGTTTGCGTTTAAGTCTTCTCAGCTCGCCTTCAGAGCAGCGCGCCCAGCGCCAGAGGTGACAAAATGGGCGCTGGCCTCCGTTGGCGGGAAGGCGAAGCCCCGCCCCGTCCCCGCCCCTCTTTATGAATCGACCAATAGTTAACGCAATAAGTTGAAATTCATACCTGCGGCCCAACGGCGCGGCCCGCTCGGCCGCTGCCCGTCTCCGATTGGTTGAGCGGATCATCTCGCCTCGCGGACTCCCCAATAGCACCGCGAAGGGGTGACGCCTCTGCACGAGGCTGAACCAATGAGCAACGCGCGGGGGGTCGGCTGCCCCGTCCCTCTCGCTATATAAACCGTCCCGGGAAGGTCGGCCGCGTTTGCGGTGCCGCTCAGACCCGTCGCGCGTCTGTCGCTCTCAGCGCTGCCGGCCCGAAGCCATGGTGAGCGGGGGGAGGGGCGGCAGCCGGCGCTGCTCGGCTCCGCGCGGCGTGGAGGGGCGGGGCGGCTCCGCCCGTGCGCGGCGGGAGGCGCGGGTCTGCCGCGGTGTGCGGATACGGAGCGGGCGGGCCGGGGAGCGGCGGCCGTGCGGGGCCTCGTCCCAAAATGGTGGCGGCTCCTCAGAACATGGCGGCGCCGAGCCGGGAGGCTCCAGAGCGGGGCTGGGAGAGCGGCGGGCGGCAGCGCTGGGGGGAGGCGGCGCGGGGGGAGCGGCGGGTCGGCGTCCGTCCGGCTGTGCGTCTGTCCTGCCGCCGCTCGCCGTGCCCCGCTCCGCGCCTTTGTTCCGCTGTTCGCTTTTCCCGGTGCCGCTCCGTGTCCGGGAGTCGCTCCCAGTTCTCCCCGTTTTCCCCGTTCTGCGTTCACGGGATATCCGTAACCGCTGACATTCGCGTTGCAGCCCGGCAGTGACGGCTCCCGTCGCGGTGAAGCCCGCCCTGCCGCCCCGCTCGGCTCCCAGCCGCGCTCAGCAGAGCTCCTGCAGCACCGCGCGTCCTTTGCCTCGTTGAGATGCAGCATCTTGCTGGGCGTGCGGAGTGCTTTGTGCAGGAGCCCCGGGGTCCTTCCTGCAGCGCTGCCTCCCAGTTCATTGCAGCCCTGTTCGAACCTGGGCACGGCGCTCGCTCTGCCCTCGGTGCTGGACTTTCTGCTTGCACGAAGTAAACATACACGTGTTCAACGCGGCACTACGGTTGTGCTGCCCAGGCCGAGGCTTTCTTTGTAACGAACGGCCTTGCTTGGTGTCATTTCAAGAAGTGCCACTCGTTCATTTGTTGCTGGAAAGCTGATATTTATTTCGACCTTTTCCACGTCTCACCTTTTGGGGGCACGCTGGTCCCTACGCGTCCCGTCGGTGACCTTCGCAGCTGCCTGGGAGCTTTGCTAACAAAGCGCATCTCAGCAGTAGGTGTCACTGCAGGTGTGAGGCTGAAGTGGGGGAATTAATTCTGTATTTTCCCTCTCAGCGGAGAAAAGAGCCATGGGCTGTCCTGAAGGGCAGCGTGACCTCATTGCTGTGACCTGGCATCTCTTGGACAGCACAGCCTTGCTGGGCTGTGTGCTGAAGCTGCTTTTCCTCTTGCTTTCTTTGCTGTGTGAGTTGGCTGTCCTCTGCCATGGCAGTGCTTTGCAAGGCCCACTGCTCCCACCTGGACGGGGATGAAGCTGTGGCCCTGGAGAGCAGTGGGCTGGCAGCAGCTTTGTGTGGTTGGCTGCAGCAAGGCTGTGGATTGCTCTTCTGGAAACTGTATGTCTGAATGTACGGCTGAGATGGGGCTTGCTCTCACCTCTTCATCGTGTGTTCTCAACCACAGCGCTGTTCTTTAGCAAATAGATTGTGATTTCTGAAGGTGGAGCTCCCAAGGAAATAGAGAATTTGCTCGTGCTTTCTTGCATTTGTTCCAGGTCCCGCTACCCTGCACTGTTAGGGAACAACTTGTATCACCCACTCATAGGGCCTGAGTAGTCCAGTGTGACTGACTCAAAGCTGTCCTGTGCTCAGCTCTTGTAGATTGCATTTTGCTCCGTCAGAACGAGAAGTTGGTAAAAAGAAGGATGCGAAATGCCACAGGTCAGGAGCTTGGAGCTGGTTCAGTTGTGGTTTGGCTCCTGGTGTTCAGAGCTGTGTGCTGCAATGTGAAGGAAGCTGGCGTGCTCTGGATGCCAAATGCACCTTGGGAATCTGTAAATTGCTATGGATGATCTTCCTGTTTTGGCACAATTTAAACGAGGCCCAATTTTGTTCTGTCTCAGTTTAGCACTCATACAGCAGTGCAATGTGGGGCCTGTTTCAGGCTTCAGCAGCAACAGGAAGGGTTTGCTTAGGGAAGGATTCCTGGTGGAGCTCCCTGAAGCAATCGGGGTATTTTTTCTGATTTTATGTGCATTAACCGAGATGGATGGTGGATGCCATGGATCTTAGGGAGGTTTCACTCCCTCTGGCTTCTGGGCTTGGAGTGCAGGGGTGTTTTTCTGGAGGCTTAGGCCAGTGACATGCAGTCATCAGTTCATCTAAATCACTGCCTGTGATCACAAACGTTGGCTGAAGGGCTCAGATGAGTTCAGCTCTCCCGGTTTGGTTGAAGATAGAGGAGAGATGAGTCTAAAGATGACAGTGTCCCAAAGGGTCTTCCCAGGTGGGTGGCTGAAAGGATCTTTTGTCCTTCTGAGTTTGTGCCCGGTGCCCTTAACACCAAGACAGTAAGGGCAATGTTCAAACAGCCTTGCAATATGGGAGCCCAAGCTGTGTGTGCTGAATGTTTTGTAAACAAGCTGCTGTTTCTGCCAGTGATCCAAGCTTTTCCTTCCCACAGCGTGAGTGCATCTCAGTCCACGTGGGTCAGGCCGGCGTGCAGATTGGAAATGCGTGCTGGGAGCTGTACTGCCTGGAGCACGGCATCCAGCCCAGCGGGACCATGCCCAGCGACAGAGCCATCGGCGGAGGCGATGATTCCTTCAATACCTTCTTCAGCGAGACTGGAGCAGGAAAACACGTCCCTCGTGCTGTGTTTGTGGACCTGGAGCCAGCAGTGATAGGTAAATACAGCGATGTACGCAGGAGACTGTAGTGCCAGGTTGGATTTAACTTGCACGCTTTGCCCAAGGGATCCATTCCTTGACGCATGAAGTGCTTTGGGGCTTTGAATTCTTACTGCAGAAAGGCTGCCTACAGCTTCCTGGTAATGGGGGGCGCTTGGCTCTGTGTTCAGTAGGACTCCAAAGGATTAAACACCACCTTCTGCCAACCTGCAGAATTAAATTCTGAACATGCCACATGCTTTTGCTGCAGAAGATAGTTAGAACCTCTTGAAAGCACACGGAGTGGGATGTTGAGTAGACACAGGTGCCTTTTTAGACAGCTGTAATATACCTCATTAAGCAGATTTCTTGTGTATAGCATTATTCCTCTGCTTTTTCAAAGCACTGTTCTGGCCTCTGTCCTGCTGTGTCTGAGGAAATGAATCTCAATTGCACATCTAAAATCAGATACATTAAACATATATTCTGACTTTGTGCCCCCCGATCTGTGACCACCCCCCTTCCCCCGAAAATCAGTGTTATCCCCTGCTGTGGCAGCGCTGGCTCTTCATGCTCACCCTCACTGCGTGCTGCTGGCTGCTCTGTCACCAGTCTGTGCCTCACTAATCCTGCTGAGTCAGACTGGGGGCTGTCTTTGCCCTCAGTGGCGACTCTGGGTGCTCAGATCTGCGCTGCCTATGCTTGTACAGTTGCTGTGTTTATGTGCTCTGTTTAATACATAAAAAGTTGTGAAGGGAAGGAGTGAAAAAGCCAAAGCTACTCCTATATACCCCAAGAGTGAGGGCTCCCTGCAGCTTACTTTAATTGTAGCAGCCCAAACCATTCTGTGACCTGCAGGAGGCAGGCTGCTGGGCAGGTTAGGCTGAACATTCAAACAGAATCAACCATTTAGGTTGGAGGTTACCTTCAAGGTCACGAAGTCCAACCATCAGTCTGACCCATTGAGTCCTTCACTAAACCATGTCCTTTAATGCTGTGTCCACAGCAAAGCACGTTTTGACCCTTTGCCAGGAGCTGTGGCTCATCAGCTGTAGTTTCCCTGAGCCCCACAGCTGTTGCTCCCTCTGCTGCTGGCCGGGTGGTGGCTCTGAGCAACCAGGGAAGGCTGAGGAAGGAGGTGAGGGAGAGTAGCTGGCAGAGCTCGTGCCTTGCTGCTGGAGGAGCAGCTGCCGAGCCGTGGGGCAGCTCTACGTGGCGGTGTTCATTAGCGCTCGCTAATGATGGAAGTGCAGCATGGGAGATGGGCAAAAGGCCGCCTGATGAAATGCTGGCAGTGCTGAAGGAGCAGGGTGACATCGCGGGCCTTTGGGGGTCAGCACTCTGTCCTGCTGCTCTGATTATTCTTCCTGTGCATGCGCTGTCTCAGAACATCTCTGCGTGCAGCACCCCTACAGGTGCCATGTGTGAGCACTGGGGGTTGCTGGGGCTTCCTAAAAATGCTGCCCTTGGTGAAAGCAAGGACTGCAGCATGCGTGCGCCAGCTCTGTGCGTGGTGTGTAAAACGCTGCCAGAGCTTCCTGCAGGAAGTAAGGCAGGAACCTGTCCAGAGTTTGATGGAAGTGACTTAAATCTCCTGTGGTGAAACACAAACACGAGGGGCTGGTGTGCAGAGGGCAGCTGGGTTCTCCTGCCTGCTGGCCTCAACACACAGCCAAGGGTTATTCCTCATAATTTTCCAAGTTGTTCATGCAAGAGCCGTTAATGCTGGAGTTTACTTTTGCTCTAGTAATATTTGAATAACGTTTGTTCCTTTAGAACATTCCCTTCTGCCCTTGGCAGAAAGCACAAGGAAAGGAAAGAAGGTGATAAGCCAGCAGTGCAGGCTCTGAGCGCCCATTGCAGCAGCAGTGTGGGTGACTTGGGAAACGTGGGGAAAGGCAGTGCTTCAGACCTTCTTTGCAGATTAGCATCAGAAGTTGAGTCCCCAGCTCCAGCACAGTGATTCTGCTTTGTAGTCTGGCTGCAAATAGCTCTGGCAAGCGAAAAACTGCTTGTGAAAATGGGGCGGCTTTCTGGGCAGTGGATTTTCTCAGGTGTCCCACGCTTTGGCTATGCTGGGCACTGGGCACCATCTGCTGATAGGAAGAAAACCAGTTCCTTCTTATCTGTAAATAAGGGCAAGGTACCTCAGTCTGAACAGCCTCAGAAGCTCGAAGGATCTGCATACCTGGAAAAGCAACGTCTTAAAAAACTCTCTTGTCTCTCCAGATGAAGTTAGGACTGGGACATACAGGCAACTCTTTCATCCCGAACAACTGATATCTGGTAAAGAAGATGCTGCAAACAACTATGCTCGAGGTCATTACACAGTTGGGAAGGAGATAATTGACTTGGTCCTGGAGCGCATCAGGAAACTGGTAAGGCCTCTCACTGCAGGCACTCAGATGAGATTCTTTATCCTGTTTTACAGGATTTGGAGCTGAGGCTGTCAAAACAGATAGGCCTATGAGTTCTGCTTTAACTTGTTGCATGGTTGGGAAGTTGTGCGGTTACTTTGCGTGCGTCCTTATCCTCAGCTTGCTGAAGTTACTCCTGTTGGATGGGGCTTTCAAATGGCCTAAAGTGCTGATGAGATGCCCAATATTTTATGTCTTCGTGTTCAACTTCAGAAAGCCGGGTATGAGATTATGTTCTGATCTGCACGGTTCCTGCTGGGAAGGGATTATGGCCTGGCTGGGGCTCTTGCAAGGAAGGTTAAGTTGGTTTAGCTCACGTGGTTTGGGCTTTTCTTTGAATTTCCTTCAGTTGTAACTTCTGACTCAGCTTTACTGTAGCAGCAGTAGAAGACCAATAAATCTCAGTGGCCTGTGATAGCTCAGTTTCCCTGGTGCTTTCTTCATGTGGTGATCCTGAGGATGACAACGTAGGTTAGAGTTCCCTTTTCTAGAGCAGCCAGCATGTACTTCACCAATATCACAAAGGCAGGGTGTTCTCATTGCATAAGATTTGAGAGTTTACCTCTGGTGCTTTAACATGGAATGCTAAATGAGTTATGAAAGATGCAGCTTCTGCAGATCAAAGCTGGTATCGAGAACTTGGCTGCCGCAGGCTCTGATGCCGAGTCTGGACTTTGACCCGAGAAATGTGGTCATAACTTCCCTCTAGAAGCTGTTTGACCTCCCTGTCAGCCCTGGCAATAAAGGTAGGCATCGTGCAGCACTCTGCTGGGGAATGCAGCCTGGCTTCGTATGAGAATGGTGAAGCAATGCAGTTTGACAGCTGGTCTCTGACATAAGCTGCGTGCCCACAGCCCTCGCAGGGTTGTAGCAGTAGTTGTGGCATGGGTCACTGCTGCATCTTGTGCAGGAAGGGAATGTCAGTCAGTGCGAGGGTCAGACAGTTTATTGAGCAAGGCAAAACTCAAAGAACTATGATGCTACTGGCCTTGCAGAGAATGGGAGCAGAAAATGTTTTGAGGCAGTAACTTAGGAAGAAGTGGAAAGGTTGTCTTCCAGTATGTTGGTGACTTAAAACTGCTAAGGATACCAGTTTGGAATGGGTTTTTTTGTTGTTGTTTTTGTTTTTTTTTTTTGAGATGCTTCCATGGCTAATGGCACCAGAATTAAATGTTACTTTCCTGAAGCTTGATCCGTTGGTACGTCAGTTTGAGTGGCTGCGTGAGTCTGCAGTAGGCTGGTTTGGGGTTCGTGATGCCTGTACCACTGCTGTGACACGTGTATTTTCTCTTTCAGTCAGACCAGTGCACTGGTTTGCAGGGTTTCCTGATTTTCCACAGCTTTGGGGGAGGCACCGGCTCAGGTTTCACTTCCCTGCTGATGGAGCGCCTGTCTGTTGACTATGGGAAAAAGTCCAAATTGGAATTTGCCATCTACCCTGCACCACAGGTCTCAACAGCTGTTGTTGAGCCGTACAACTCCATCCTGACCACCCACACCACTCTGGAGCATTCTGACTGTGCCTTCATGGTGGACAACGAGGCCATCTATGACATTTGCCGTAGGAATCTGGACATTGAACGCCCGACCTACACCAACCTCAATCGCCTCATTGGTCAGATCGTGTCTTCCATTACTGCTTCCCTCAGATTCGACGGTGCCTTAAACGTGGATCTCACGGAATTCCAGACGAATCTGGTGCCTTACCCTCGTATCCACTTCCCGTTGGTAACGTATTCCCCAATTATTTCAGCAGAGAAGGCCTATCACGAGCAGCTCTCTGTGTCTGAGATAACCAACGCGTGCTTTGAGCCTTCCAATCAGATGGTGAAGTGCGACCCTCGCCATGGCAAGTACATGGCCTGCTGCATGCTGTACCGGGGGGATGTGGTCCCCAAGGACGTCAACGCTGCTATTGCTGCTATCAAAACCAAGCGCACGATCCAGTTTGTGGACTGGTGCCCTACTGGTTTTAAGGCAAGTCTCAGTTACATCACGAGCCTTTGTTTTGTTTTGTTTTTAAGGCTAATCGCCGTAATGCACTTATTAAGTGTATTTTCTCATTCAAATGTGTAGGTGGGCACCTGATTTGTGTTGAGAAATGAGTCTTAATGTTTTTGTGCAGAGCTGCTTCCTCTGGCTTCTTTGACTGTGGTCACTATTGAATGCTACGAGGAAACTCACGGTCTTCTGTGCTTCTCCCGTAGGTTGGCATCAATTACCAGCCACCAACAGTGGTTCCTGGTGGGGACCTGGCCAAAGTGCAGCGGGCGGTGTGCATGCTGAGCAACACTACAGCCATTGCTGAGGCGTGGGCTCGTCTTGACCACAAGTTCGATCTGATGTATGCCAAACGTGCCTTTGTGCACTGGTATGTTGGAGAAGGGATGGAGGAAGGGGAATTCTCAGAGGCTCGGGAAGATTTGGCTGCACTTGAAAAAGATTATGAAGAAGTGGGCACAGACTCGATGGATGGAGAAGATGAAGGCGAAGAATACTGAACACAGCCAAAGTGAATTGCAGGTCTTCTCCAGGGCCTTCTTATTAGCAGTGTAAATCATGTCTAATGATTGGAATAAACTTCTTTAAGACATCCAGTAGTGTCAAACACTGTGCCTTCATCAGCTGTACTCAAACAGTCCATAGTCTAAGACAACTTTCTGAGAAAGCTGAATAAAGTAATCAGCTGCAGCTAGAAGTTACTGTCCGTAAGGCACTGCTGTTTGAATGGTGCATATTTGCTCCCAAACTGCTCTAACGTAGAGTCGGTGTTTGTGAGTAATTGAGAGAGCAAGCAGGAAAGGGAGATGATGTTCTGGTGTGCAGAAGCAGGGGGAGCTCTGGGCCCTGTGGTTGCCCTGCTGCTTTGTCCTCCTGCAGTCCCTGCCTGCCTGCTGTCTGCACAGCACCTTCAGTCTGCAGCAGAACCTCAGTTAGCTGTTGGGGTCAATCAGCACTTTTCCCTAAAAGTGATTATTTTGCAGAAACGATAAGTTTGTTGGTTTAGCTTCATGTGGAAGGCAGAAGGAAGGACTGTAACTTGTGTGTCCGGTGTAATGGCAGGATTTGGCTGATGCAGTTATCTGCAGATGTGAATACCTCTGAAACATTCTGTGTGCTCTGGGTGGAGGCTTGGGAACACAAAGCACAGTGATCCCCAAATAACCTATTTCCATTTCTGCCTTAGATGGGTGCTTATTAAATCTCTCCCACGGAAGTTGTAAAGGGAGAATAGTCAAATATGTCATGGTGCTTGAATATTGATGTTCACACGATGCCACAGTCTGTAAGAGACTGGATTTGAGTGGAAAATAACTCCCAGTCCTATTTCAACCTTACTTGTTTTCCTTCTGACTTAATGAATATGATTTAGGCTAAGCCTGGAGCCTGGTTTAGCTGATGAAGGTGAGTTATACCTGCTTGGCAGGAGTCTGGGCTGTGGTAAGAAAAACGCCTTACATTCTGTGTAAGGAAACCTACGGTACCCAAATAATGCTGCAGTGTCTGACGTGGACTCACAGAATGAAACAGAGATCAGGGAAAGACACTGACCAACTGTAGAGTATTCAGAGTCCTCTTGACAACTTATTTTCCTGTTGATTAGCTAATTAAGTAAATGTGCTAGATGTAGCCCAGGAGGCAGATGCACTCATTGCAAGTCAGATAGACTTCATTTCCTTGCATGTATTCAGACTTCTAATGTGACAATGCCGTGAGCAGTGCTTGAGGAGGCTGCTGCATGCCTTACAGGTTTGAGGGCTTTGGCTTAGGAGCTCAGACTCAGGTTGTGAAGGCCCTGTGATTGCTGGTGCCAGCGCCATGTCTGTCCTTAGAACCTGTGTGCTGGGGTGCAAGCAGTGCTTTCCTGAACTGACCTTCAGCGCGGGCTTTCAGCAGTGATTTATCATCTTCCTATCTGGGATTCTTTTGGTTTTGTGAGGCCTGCCTGCAGCCTTCTGCTGCTGCAGTTCATTGCTTTACTGTACGCCAGGATTCCCTTTCTTAGGACACCGCTCCTCTCGTGATGGGAGCTGCCTTGCAGTGTGCCAGTGTTCCCTGTGCAGCACACAGCCATGGATGAGCTGCTGCAGGACGCAGCGCTGCACAGCATGCTGTGAGGGTTCAGCAAGTGGAGTCTGAGTTCTCTGAGAACCTGGATCCAGCCGGGGCATCTCACTCACTGTGCGCATTGGGTCTGAATGCATTCTGCTTTCACAGCGTGTGCTGTTTTAATAGAAGTAGAAAAATGATAAGCTGCCACTGATAGGTTGAACAGGGGATGCTTTGTCACCTGTTCACCACTGGGCTCATGCTGCAAGCACCGTGCATCCAGGCTGTGTCATGTGCTGCTTTGCTTGGTAGCAGTGTTGAGAAACACACTGCATTAACTGGTGAGCACTTAACCCTCAGTGTAGTCATAACTTGCAGCGAGTGAAGATCAGACGTAAAGCAGAGATTACAGCAGGGAGATGCTGCTGAATGCGCCTCACTAGATAAGAAGCATCCCCTACTTGTGCTCAGAAGGAGCTGTGTGCCTGTCGGAGCAGGCATTACCTGGTGGGAGCTAAATATACCTTTACCTGTGGTGACACAGCTTTCCTCCAGTGCTGAGATTGGCAGTCAGTGGCCATGACCTGATAGGGCAACGCTGACTCACGGAGAGGAGGAGGAGGAAGTGAGCAGGCACCTTGGTGAGCCGGCTGTGCATGGCTGGTTGTGGCGGGAGGTCTGTCCCAAGCTGCTTCTGGTGCCATTGCAGGGAAATGCAGGGCAACAACTTCATTTCCACCCACTGCCTCTGAGTGAGGCAATAAGTGAGCGCTATCTGTGTGGATGGACTCGGTATTAAGGATTCTCTGATTCACCTCGTGCCTTTGCTGCTGTGTGTCAGCAAGGGGAGTCGCAGAACAACACCTCCATGGCAGTTGAGTTTATTGCAGAAAATCTGGAATGACTGGCAGAGCTGGGGGAGCAGCAGTGTCAGTTCACTGCTTTGCTGCCGTGCACTTGTAGGTCGTTGAGTCGCCTTGTCCCAGGCCTGCAGCCTTCAGCCTTGCTGAGCCCTCTGCTGCAGTGCTGCTTATCCCTGGGCAGCGCAAGGTGAGCAAGGAGCAGCCATTCAACGCTGCCATTTTCAGCCAAGCCTGCACAAACAGCAGCAGACAGATCTTGCCATCTGAACTGCAGTGCTGCTAACTACAGAAGCCTGGACTTGTGCCTTTGTACAAGGTCATGTTTTCTCTTACATAGGGCATGCTTCACAAAGGCAGAACTTCAGTTGTGCGCAGTTACAGTGCAGAGATCCTCTAAACAGGGCAGTTTTCACTTTATTGCTGAAGTTTTGTGTAAACCTAAAAATTCATAAGTGTTTTTTTTTTTTTTCCTCAATGTCTTTGATGTTGAGTTCATATTTCTTTTCCAAGTCTTAGAAGCTTAGGAAGAAGTCTATTAAAGATAGAGATACTGTGTCTTGTATCGGAGCTGTGTGTGACCAGAGCTTGGAAGGTACAGAGGAAGGGTAACTGAGCCTGCAGCCAGGAGCAGGGCTGAAATGGAGCAGCGCTGTTGCTGTTCCCTGCATATTGCTGCTTGGAAACCCATTGCTGAGCTTTGCTAGTCAGCAGTTCATCAAACAGAGGTGGGTGAATGAGGTACCCGGGCAGTTCAGAACTGCCAAATTCCTGTGCCTTGTTTGGTGGGTTAGATTCATTTGTCCATTTATTAGACCTGAGGTATCTGTAGTAAGGGCTGGGTGTCGAGGGTTCTTTTACAGGGTTAGGGAACAGAACAGACAACTTCCCTCTGTTCCAGGTGCATCCTGGAGCGATGCAGATGATTTCTGCAGTCCGTGCCTCCTGAAGGTGTTGAGTCCAGATCAATCCTTTGCCAAAGCATCTCAAACTCCACCCACCTGTGCTCACTGCACCTTTCTTGTCACTGCTTTGTTCCTGTGAGACAGAGGCCTCCACAAGGCTGCTGTCAATGTTTATTCAGACTGCTTTCTCAGTGGTGGCTGCTGTAGGTGCACACTGCGATGCTTTGTGGTGGGAGTGAATTCCAAGCCGTGTTCCTGAAGGCTGCCAAGACCTCAGGCATCTCCCTGTCATTTCTGTCAGAGCTCTATGGCTGCAGCTCTCACACGCACTGCAGCCTTGTGCCATCGCCACTTGCAGGGGCTGCTTTTCGTTTGGCAGCACCGAGGGTCTGTGGCTTTTTGGTTATTTCAAAGCGGTTTGCAGAACCTGCTGTGGGTGAGCGCTGCAGGAAGGCAGCGTTTGAAAGATGCTGAAACACTTCTGTAATGCCATTGTTCCTCCAGCAGCTCTGGGGCTGATTTCATGCAGTTCTGCACTGTCAGAGCTGTGTTGCATACGGAGTTGCTTTCAGTGCTGTCTGAATGTCTGTGCCTGCTGTTGTGGGACAGCCTGAACTGCTAACTGCTGCATCCCATCTCCCTGGCACTCCTGTCACCAGGCGGTCTCGCCTCTGTGCTCATGCTGCTCTGACGCTGTTTTTGTGTTAAGTAGATAAGAAAATTAATCCATCCTTGGGGCAGGAAGAAGGACAAAGCTCTCTCTCAGTTTCATGAGCTCTGGTGGCTCAGCACAGGGTCACCTGAGTGCCACAGTGGGCAGGAGGGAAGCTTGGGGTGCCATGGGGCAGCTGCAGCTGAGCTGAGCCTCTACTACTGGTGCTGACTGGGGCAAAATGGTTTCTGTCTTTGATCTTCACAACGTAAATGGAGGCAGAAGCATGTGCACACATCAGTGGAGGTGTCCCAGTCACGTCTCAGTGCATTATAGAACCATTCCTGCTGTTGTCCACAGATACTTTTGGGAAGTGTGAATGCCTTGCAGCCAGCACATATGGCACCCAGCAGTGGAGGGCTGCCTCATCCTTGGATCATCTCACCATTCAGGCAATGGTTCCCGGCCCTTCTACACAAAGTACTTCTGTTTCTTGTGTTATTCTTTTTGCTTTTTAGTGTTTATCTTCCTGTTTTCAAATTCCGGCTGTTTCTTTACTTGTTCACTGCTGTTACAGATATCAACAGTGTGTTTAAGTTCCAGCTTTGTCTATTGCAGCATATGTGCGCTGCCTTCATTATCTGCAGTGCCTACAACTATTTGGTGTCTACTGAGTGTGTCTGTGTATTAAATTTGCTTGCTAATGCTGAGAGGGACAGCTTGTCTGCACGTTGATTTAGACCTTGTTTATTTTTGATCAGCTGCATTAAATACTCACGTGTGCCTATTGCAGAATGCTTCTGAAGCTCCCAAGAGCCAACACTGCCATGTTTGGGCCACTGCAGGTGCTGGCAGATCAGGAGCAAGCCTTACAGTTCTGCTTGTTGCCGCTGGCAGCTGATTTTCTTGTCCAGTCCTGCACTCCCTTGCAAAAGATGCTCTGTTCTGGAAGCTTTGTATCAGCTGCCAGGCGCTCAGGGTTGTGGAGATGGATGTGGGAAGCCAGGCCTGCCAGAGCAGTCCAGATTTTTGGAAAAGCCGTTTGAAAAGCCCTCCAAATGCAGTGCGTTCTGAAGGGTCTGATTTGTGTTTATTTCAGGAGTTTATTAAATTCTTTCCATTGCCAGGTT